GCTTCATTTGAACATTTTTACATAAATCTGCGAAAAAAGTAGTCTTGTTATGCACACATGATCCTGAAAGGATAATCGGAAAATTGAAAAAAGAACAAATCGGAAAGAGCTGCTTTTATGAATTTCGTTCGGGATCATTGCGTGGGACCGGAAGTTCCATGTTCGCCACCATTAATTAACCGACAGAGGCTAGAGTTTGATCTAATCATATTCATCCCTTTATACGTGAGCATGACCCGGATATGAAATTAGGAATGCATTCCCTTTTCTTGTACAATATTCTCTGAAAACATGAAAGTCTCTTTCTGACACCATCGGCTGTACGATTGAACAGGCGACCCAACAAAGGTTCAATAAAACCACTGTTGCTGGGCGTGGAGGTTACACAGATGCTTGGGGGCTGGCGTTTTGAAAACATTTGATCCCGTCCCAGCATGGCGATCCGGCCATCCAAAATGATTTCATCGCGAATATTGTACAGCGTTGCACTCATTTAATCGTTGCGACAATTCTACCATAGCAGTAACAAAGCTTGCCCCAGAGATCAAAGTCAATAAGTCTCCCTTCGTTCATGTTTTTCAATAATCTTCCTTTTCTACAATTCGGGCTCACAATGCTTCTCCGGGATTAGCCCAATATGTTACAAAGTCACATTGGCAACTCAGGGCGGAGAGCTCCAACAAACGGTACGGGGCTTTTGATGTCCTTGTAATAAGAACAAAATCTCCAAAGTCGAGCTGGGACCTTACACGCATTCTTCACAATTAAGCTGAGAATTTGGATTGGTCGATGCTGTGATTCCATACGCCGTACCAGACACCCCGACCATGTGTCCCCCCACCCCAATAGCAGGTGGCTCGGGTAACCTGGGTGCATTGCCCCCCAGCTCTTTGTAGCGTTACCGTAAGAATAGATAAAATAAGAATAGAAAGCCGTATTAGTTTATTAATTTGGAAATTCACATAACGTGAAAGGATGCAACTCTGGAGCGAATGTTTGGGACTTTAATTTCTGGAGTGAATGTGTTGGCTTTTATCTCTGGAGTTAGTTTGAACCTATAGATAACGCAGGTATGTATATCTTTTCACAATAGTGAAAACAAACACGCCGCTGAATTGAAAATGCTTTCAGAGCGATTCATTTCAAGCACCCTCTAAGTTCGTCGTAGGTTTGTGTGGGCTTGCTACCGGGTTGTTTTAATTGCACACAATGTGTGTAGATTGTAACTCCGTTTTACAAAAATCAAACGATGAAATTTAATTTTTGGCACATAAAGAAAACATGTCAAGAAACGATAAATAACAACTTCTAGAGTCTAATAAGGGGGAAAAGAAATATGGTATTAAAAACGATTTACGGTGACCTTAGAGTTTTCAAACATTTTCATAGTTCAATCTTGTAATGTATTCACTATTTTAAGATCTAAATATTTGTTTTAACAATTTAACTAAACTGTGGGTCAGAAAATTGTATACACGCTTGCTGACGGTGGTTAAAATGACACACAGTGATTTGATACATATGGTATCTGTTGTATTTTGGACCTTAAGTTTGAAGCGTTTCGGCGTCTGTTTGCAGTTTGGCAATATTTTCATAACACTTGTTATTTCTTGGTTCAGTCCAATTTTAATGTGTATACTTTCTTTTGCTCGGCAGTTTCTGTAAATATTTTTTATCTTTCACCTCTGAAGGCAAATGTCCACATGACGGGGTATAAAAAAGAACTAAGTCTACGTGCACTGGACAACGTGACTATTTAAATATACAGTTTGCTTTTAATTATACTCCGGGTTTCGTCTTGAGGAAGAAGATTCGACATTCACAAGCCTTCAGTTGTATGCGTTCAAATTCCCGAATAAAACTTCATGCCGGGTTTAACATCAAACAGTAACAAAACAAAGATGAAGCCTTCGTTTCACTGAACATGAGTTGTACAAATGACAAGCTTTCAATTAAATGTGGATATGAAAATATTCAATGATCTGGTTAAGTAATGGCTTCAGAAATATTATTCAATGCTTATACCATAAAGAAGATTTTAGTATTTCGTTGTAATGGCTTACATTAGAAGGTGAATACCCCTTATGAAAGTATACCGAGTAGTCAGTGTAATGGTAATTTAACCGTACATCATTCAAACTATTTAGCATTTACTATTGTGAAACATGTGAAAGGAGATCCATTATTATTTTTCACTTTCAGTACGTTTCTATAAATAAACATGTTTCACCAAGGAAATATTACTTGCGGGTATCCATGAAAATACCCATATATGCTTATACGCTTATGCCACTTGTAATGTGTTGCATGGTATTAAGTTTGGCCAGTATTATAATACTCGTATGTTAGTACTAAATTTCGTATCAGTATGAGTTATAAAGAAGAGCCGATAATAGTATTTGTGGTATTGACAACGATGTTTTTCTATGTGTGTGTGTGTGTGTGTGTGTGTGTGTTTCTGACTGTGCGTGCACGCCAAAAATCCATACTGTCTGTAATGTTAGAGTTTCCACCGGAAAATCCGGTGATTGACGCCATGAGCATAAACATGTCAGCGACCCGGACCCCCAGAACCCCGGTAGTTGCCCTTTTAATCACAACCATATTTCACTCACGCGGAGAACTACATCATTGCTAGGGGGCAATGGGGCAGCCAAGTGGTTAAGGTGTTTGCTCGTCAGACCGAAGACCCGGGTTCGATTCCCCACATGGGTACAATGTGTGAAGACCATTCCTGGTGTCCCCCGCCGTGATGTTGCTGGAATATTACTAAAAGTGGCGTAAAACCATACTCACTCACTCACATCATTGATAGGGATAGTACCAGTACTTGTATAGTCTGTTTGCAGTGAAAACGTATATGAATTTCACTTTAAACCTGAAAATAAGATCATCTTCATAATTTTGCCTTGCCAATTGAGCATTTAAATTTCAGAATTTTATTCAACTTAGAATAAAAGAGGATTTGCAATCTTAATTTCACTTTTTTTAATTTACATTTTGGTTTAAAGCGAAATTCATCGGTACGTTTTCACTGCAAACAGACTATAGTAGGCGTGTTTTGTTGGTTTTGTTTTTGTATTTCTGTGTTGTAATACGTCCTGTCAATGTGTGGGGCACTAGGGTAGGCTAGTGGTTAATGCGTTACCTCGTTACTCCGAATATACGAGTTCGAGTCCACAAATGTATAAATTAAAGCCCTCCTTTATTGCTTGAATATGGCTTAAACCTTACTGACTCACTCACACTTACATACATATCGTTACCTGTTATTTTGTTGCAATAGGTATACGTGACACTTTCAGGAACAGTACGAGATTCGGTGCACCTGTATCGGTCCAGTTCATTAATCTGCATATGCAAAGAATTATGTGTCAAATTCGTCAGGATTCTCTAATAATGGCCGACCTCTTGACCTATGACCTGACACGTGTCAAACCGTCATAATATGTCTCCAATGCTATGTGAAAGTACACAAGTCTGACTAAAAGTTGTATCACGTATTAGTTACCGGTTATGGTAACTGACGGGTAACATATGAAATGAAAGGTAGATGCAGTCTTAATCTTTGGCTAGATGTACGCGGAAAGTAAGACACGTGCTGATACTGTCGGCAACAATGGAGTGCTTGTTACATCACGACATGATTGATCATACGTATCATCACGAGGCAAGGGACAGGAGACGTGACGACATACGTGACACCCACCAGATACTCCCAACGTGACATCATAAATTACTCTAAAAAAGGCCAACAAGTTAATGAGAATTTTTCAAAAAAACTAATTAGGCTGATGTATCAGTATGTTTTAACACCTGGTAACACGGGTTAAAAAAACATATTAGTTGGCAGTGTGGTTAATATCTCTCATTTCCTGACATAAGTCAGGGGTGACGGGAGGATAGCTCAAATGGATCAACTCGTTCGCATTGGTAACAATCAGCATAAGGCAGAGACAAGAGTTAACTCCCCTTCAGAGCTCTTTCGCAGGTGCGGGCCATTAATAAAAACAGCGATGGGCATTTGCTTCCACGAGTCTTGTTCCCACACTTGACTTTCAACCTGGCGTTATACTGACCGGGGTCAAGCGATTCCTTGACACTACATGATGACTTGATTGACCATCTTCACCGTGACACTTGACACGAATGTCCTAACGCGGTCATTCGGTAACATCAACAGCTATGCACGTCTTCTGACAGGTTGTTTAGTTTCGCAGCATGGTGGGTGGATATCATATGTTCCCAACTTCCCAGTGCTGATGGCGCAACGTTGCAAATACACGTCTTCTAATGTCGCGATTACTACTCTGTACTCTAAGTCAGTTAGATATTATTACAGGTGAGATGGTTGTGGTTACATTTGATCTGGTAACTAAAACATTGTAATTGCACACGCAAACACGTATTACCTGATAAAAATGACATTCACACTCAACATGAATATATCCTTCAAGCTTCACATGTGTCACTTGCATTACATTAACACCCCTGTCACTCTCTCCCTCCCTTTTTTTCTCACTATCATTCTGATTGTTTGTGACTATACCCTAGACTTGCAAAAGTCTCTGAGGTTAAAATAAATAGTTTCTAACAGACTGGCCTCATGTACCATCCCCTTATCTAGACTTGTCTCTTTAAAGGATAGAATTACTATATATGGGCTTAGCATTTAGTACAGCCTTTGGAGCAAGGCTTGCTATACCCTTGCTGGAGGTTGAAGTACTGTAAAACTCCCCCCCCCCCCCCATAAGTCTGCATCATTCACAGAATATCCATAGATATCACCGTTTTTAATCGTAATGTACTTGTATATTTTGCAATAATTGCTGACACTGCGTGCGCTCAATCGCTTGTACCTGGAAGGGATGCTAGCAATCTCTGGCCCCCTTTTGTACTGTGTTTGTCAGTTGATAGTTTAATATTTTAATGCTCTCAAACTAATTTAAAATATATGTGATGGGCATTTTTACTGTAAAATGTTTTTTCCTGTTTTCCAGATTCGGATGTGTCGGATGCTTTGAACCTGTCTCTATGATAACACCTTACAGATTTAATCAAGATAAATTAATGCATTTTAGATATAAATTTTATATTAGAAATTATTTCTTTTGAAATAATTCTCGACATGTATTATTTTTATGTTATCAACATGAAAGGGATAGGGTATTGTTTTATAAACCAAAAAAAAATCTTGAGCGTAGGAAATAAGTATAAAACGTGATCGTGTTAATAAAAGAGTCCGTTTAGTAATTTTTGTTTGTACTCAATGTTATTAAACATACCCTGTTACGGAACATTGAAAGCTATCGGTCTTGCTGTATAGCGTAAGGAACTGTAGACCTGTTGGTATCAAATGTTCAGTCGACGTAGGCCAAGGACGACGATGTCGAAACCAGACTCACCGGGAACAGTCGCCACTGATGTCGTGGCGATACGACGGCGGAATCTGCGACATCGCATCTTATCACTATCCGATCTACATGTACAGGTGTTTAGGTTCTCAGTTGACATGCATGAGTTTCTAGGGTCGACTATTATGCAGTATCATGATGGAATGAATACTTATAATAAAGAAAGCTTTCTTTCAAAAGCGTTCATGTTGTCTTTAATCCACTTTTCATAGACCCGTGACCCACGCTTGTCGTAAGAGGCGACTAACAGGATCGGCTCGCTGACTTGGTTGACACACGTCATCGTATCCGAATTGTGTAGATCCATGCTCATGCTGTTGATCACTGGATTGTCTTGTCCAGAGTCGATTATATACAGACCGCCGCCATATAGCTGGGATAGTGCAGAGTGCGGCATCAAACTAAACTCACTCACTTTTCATACAGGAAAATGTATATTCCTTGTTTAATGCCGCATGTGGTAATTCTCAAGCGATATGACGGTGACTTGGAACCTCGAGATCTTGACCAGACGGGGCGGTGGGGTAGCCTAGTGGTTAAAGCGTTCGCTCGTCACGCCGAAGACCCGGGTTCGATTCCCCACATGGGTACAATGTGTAAAGCCCATTTCTGGTGTCCCCCGCCTCGATATTGCTGGAATATTGCTAAAAGCGGCGTAAAACCATACTCACTCACTCACTCTTGACCAGACAACCAACAAGTACATGTATTCTGACACAGATAACTGGTCAGGTCAGTTCCGTTTAAGAAAAAAAGAGTTTACAGTGTAGGTGGTATCGGCCAACGAGCTCGAACAACACACCTCCACCTCCCTCAACACACGTCTGTGTGTCTGTGCTTGTGTTTGTGTTGAATATGTATGACGACTGGTCAGCGGATCTATTGCCTACGACCTCTTTTTTCATATCACCTATTGTAACTCAAGGCCGATAAATGGCTTTCTAAACAAGAAGGTGTTAGAAAAAATAGATAAATAGCGGTGAATGAACTGTCAGGCAACCATGAAAGAGGCATCTCGATGGTGTTGCATGGCTAACCGTTTTGTCAGTGGTTTTCATTACTGTAATAATTCTACAACATAAACAATGACCTCACAAACTTTGACCAGTATTGGTGTCATGACCCAGCGTGTCACCTTAAAGCTGGAGAAGGTGCGAAGTGACCCAGACCGGAGAGGTACGTACCATTTTGGTGAGTGAGTGAGTTTAGTTTTACGCCGCTTTAGCAATACGACGATATCAGAAACAGGCTTCACTCTACTTTGTGCAACCTGGGGATGTGGATGGGATATGGTATGGATTTGTTTTTTTAACCCCAAAACTCAATAATATTCCTGCTATGTGACGGCGGTCTGTAAATAATCCAATCTGGTGAATGATATCATGAGCATCGATCTAATTGGGATACGGTGACATGTGTCAACCAAGTCAGCGGGCCTGGCCACCCGATCCCGTTAGTTGCATCTTACGATAAGCATGGGTTACTGAAGATCAATTCTAACACGGATCTTCACGGGTCCGTTACCTCTTATAACCTGGATCGTGATATAACATGGATTTCTACAGTAACTTAACATAATGATCTGCTGGGTGACAAGTGCTGGTAGACAATGTATTGCAATTAGAAGGACTAAAGTTTTGTCTCCTAAAGCAAATAATAAATCACCCTCAGAACCACCTCCAACACCACCACACCCACCCCACCCCACCACCCCACCACCACCACAAACACACACTCACACGCCTACCTACTCAACCCTATGATATACATATATACCAAGAATATTGTATAAAATGAACCATTAGAAATACTTTCATACAATAAATGAGTGAAGATACATTGGTATATTCTGAAAGCTTTTCAAAAATATAAAGAATTATACAAATAAACAGACCAAACATGCAAAAGATCAAACATCGGTTTAACATCTTGTGAACAAAATACTTTCGTTACAAAAACTATTTACAAGGGTGTTTCCACTTGTGTTTAATGTCCGGACTGTTTAATTACTCGTGTATTTAACAGCAAGTGCGTGTTTCGTTCATGCAAAGCAAGTGTGATAATTACACCGCAGGTGTAATGGGGTCTGTGTTGATGGGGGCAGCGTTGATGTCTGTGTGTGACATTTCTCTCTTTATATATTTAACACATCGCCTGACACTGGCACTTACAAACCATCTGCATGTTAACGGCAATGTTTTTGATGGGTATGGGGAATATATGTGTCTATTGTTTTACTATTTCAGGAAAAACAATTGAGAGCGTCTGCAGATGAAGGATAGTTATGTAGATATTTTAGAAATAAATGTTGAGAAACAGATGTGATATATGGTTATGTTAATAGAAAATGCCTCATGAGTGTTTGGTTGAGTTAGTGAGTAGGTTGGTTCTAACTCTTTGAACAATGTTCTTGTTATATCACAACGTGTCACCACTTCGGAAAACCCTATCATCACGATAGTGAGTGAGTTTAGTTTTACGCCGCTTTTAGCAATATTCCAGCAATATCACGGCAGAGAGACACCAAACATGGGCTTCACACATTGTACCCATGTGGGGAATCGAACCCGGGCCTTCGGCGTGACGAGCGAACACTTTAACCCCTAGGCTACCCCACCACCCTAACGTAACGACAGATGCTGACTTGTTGGGTAGAGTTATGTCCCTTAATTTCAAGGATCTGTTATGAGTTCAGATCAATGATTATGCTTTGGGGTTTATTTGCACCGCGACGTCTCTGGCTACATCTGCATGATATACGTCGACGTGTAGCAAAAGTTCTCTTCACACAGTGGGCTTACATTGCACCTTTACTTCCGGCATCACGTATCGTCAGTTACAGAGCACCATCATGTTTTAACACCTTGGGATTAGTGTCAAAAACACGTGTTTGTCAGGGAGTGAGGTACAGCCTCATTAAAGTGTTACGTCAAAACATTCATGCCTTATTTGGAGACCTTTCCGTTGGCATAACTATAACATAAAATGATAAAATACATACCCTTTACAGATGTAAATTTCATTCACGGGGACTGACAGCAATAACTGGGCGTTAATGTGATAATTATGCTACTGCTACACGCGCATAAACTCTCCTTCCTACATGTTTGTCTGTTACATTTGTAACTTTAAATGCAATGGTACTTCTTCTCTCTCACTTTCTCTTCATCGTGTACCCATGTGGGGAATCGAACACGGGTCTTTGGAGTGAGGTGCGAACGCTTTAACCACTAGGCTACCCATCGTATCATTCTGGAAAGACACTCGACTCACAAACCTAAAGACATGTCGATTCCTCGTTTGTAATGGACTCCAAAGCTCAATACAATCCTGTACAGAGAGAGAGAGAGAGAGAGAGAGAGAGAGAGAGAGAGAGAGAGAGAGAGAGAGAGAGAGAGAGAGAGAGAGAGAGAGAGAGAGAGAGAGAGAGAGAGAGAGAGAGAGAGAGAGAGAGAGAGAGAGAGAGAGAGAGAGAGAGAGAGAGAGAGAGAGAGAGAGATTGCTTGGTCCAATACAGACACATTGTTACTGTACCCCGAAATCACGGTCTCACGGTTTAACCAGGATAGCCAACACTATCAAAGAAGGACTTCCTCCACAGTGACTATTTCAGACAAGTGGAGTTGATACCATGTGTATTCTCAGAAGCTCAAAGGATTTGCTTTACTTTTTACAATTATAAAACGGACGGAGTTCAGTTGAGACTCTATAAGGGGGAGTGGTCACTCCTCGGAAAGCTCCTAAGCTATGCCTCGGCTCGTCACGTGACCAGTGCAGCCAATATGGCGGCAGCGTAGTTTTTAAGATTGAGCCCGGTTTATTTTCAACAGCTGATTACATACGCTGAGTGTTGTGACAACTGAAAACCTACATGTATGTAGAAGATAAGTTACCTATTCTGTCACTTCATTTTAAGTCAAATACTTGTTATTAGTGTCAGTATAAGTACAGTAGCTTTGTAGTAAAGTTTCAAGTGGGCATGTTGTAGCTCACTGGCTTCAATTCTCAGTACACAGCGAAGAAAGACTAACTTATATCGCTAAAAACTTCTTTCACATATTCGTTTAATTTTTAGAAGGGAAATATACCTTTTGTTAAAAGGTGTTTGCAAGTAATAGTGATATTTTTATAACTAAAAAAATTTTGTTAGGGTGTATTTGAGGTGTGTGAAAAATATGACATATCGCCGATCTGCCATTGAAATACTACAGGGCGTTGTTTGAGTGTTTCTAGTTAGTGTTCAAAAACATCTTTCACATACACCTTCAATTTTTATGAGGGGAATATACCATCAGGTGAAAGGTGTTTGCAAGTAATAGTGATAGTTTTATAATTTAAAAAAAATTGTTAGTGTGTATTTGAGGTGTGTAAAAAATATGACATATCGCCGATCTGCCATTGAAATACTACAGGGCGTTGTTTGAGTGTTTCTAGTTAGTGTTCAAAAACATCTTTCACATACACCTTCAATTTTTATGAGGGGAATATACCATCAGGTGAAAGGTGTTTGCAAGTAATAGTAATAGTTTTATAATTTAAAAAAAAAAATGTTAGTGTGTATTTGAGGTGTGTGAAAAATATGACATATCGCCGATCTGCCATTGAAATACTACAGGGCGTTGTTTGAGTGTTTCTAGTTATTGTTCTAAAACATCTTTCACATACACCTTTAATTTTTATGAGGGGAATATACCATCAGGTGAAAGTTTTTTGCAAGTAATAGTGATAGTTTTATTTTTTTTTTTGTTAGTGTGTATTTGAGGTGTGTGAAAAATATGACATATCGCCGATCTGTTCTGATACGCCATTGGTGCTTGTGATGCTTGAGTGTTATAGTTCTAAAACTTCTTTCTTTCTTGTTGATCTTAGTATTTGACAAAACTGGAAAGGTGTTTGCAAGGCTTTGTGATAGTTCTAAACTTTCTGTTCTTGAGGGGTCTGTGACAGTGTCAGTTAACATTCTGTCAATGCCCATGTCATTCCACACATGCAATAAGATATCTGAATTAGTTACTAATGTAAAAAAATGTCTCAAAGTAGATTTTTTTAAAAAGGACAGCTGATGTTAACATGTGTTCTACCGATAGTTTTGCGTTCTTTAACATGTTTGGGGAGGGATGGCCGTGGTGTATCATTTATTCTTTCATTCATTCACATATGTTCTTTTCTTTTGTTCTTTTCT